CTGACACCTTTCTCATACTTAAGTTATCATGTAAAATATTGAGTGCCGTTCCGTACGACACACCTATGGCCTCTGCTACTTCGCGCACTTTAGTTCGGCGATCAGCGAGAATCATGTCATGGACCTTTTCAACGATTTCCTCGGTAACGACGTCTGCCGGGCGGCCCGGCCGCTCCTCGTCAAAAACAGATGTACGACCACGTTTAAATTCGTTGAACCAATATCTCACGGTTGTCATAGATGGTGAAGGGTCCCCATAGACGGCATCCAACTTCGCTTTTATTTCTTCGCATGTTTTTCCATCCAAAAATAAAAAGCGAATTACGGATCGATATTGCACTTTCTCCATTGTATCAAGAAAGACAAAACACGTCTGATGCAACTGGCTGCCAAATAAAAACTAACCTATGAATCAGTCTGAAATTTAGTATGGGGTCGTTTGACAGATGGCAGTACACGACGGTAAAGCCAACTTCCCTCAGCAACGCCACCTGTCTTCAAACACGGGTACTTATTGATCGACCCTCGTAGCACCAAGCATTTTGCTTCCACCAGAACCAAGTTATACACGCTGGGACACGTGCCTGTGTGCAGTGAGTTGTTATACCAAACATTTAGAAACAGTTAGGAATGTCATGAATACATTTGATCCCAAAAGTGCAGCATCAATTCAAATTGCCCAAGATGTACTAAAAACGCAGAACTTTAAACTAATCTTTCCTATATATCTGCTCACTTTTCTCATCTTCCATCCGCCATTTCCTCACAGGAGTCAAGTAATAGCAATACTACTTTTTATCAGTTGTTAAGTGTGTTCAGGACCACTGTTTCTAAATTGAATTCGGTGCCTGGAAGAGTTGGTGAAGTAGTAAAGGGAAGAAGTACACAGCATTCTTTAAAAAAAAATCCAGGATATGAACAAATTTGTGAAATTGAACAAATTTTAGCCAGTAAACGTACTGAACTGCCAAGTAAAAAATCACTAACAGGGGAGCAAATAGCTTCTTTTGTACATGTGCCCCTAAGTTCCTGTGAGGTGGAAATAAGTTTTTCCTGCTATAAGGACATCTTACGAGACAATAGGAGGCGACTAACTATGGAAAACCTAAAACATTTAGTAATTGTGAACTGCAATAAAGGGGAAGTTGAAAATTTGGAGAGCTAAATGTGAGTACCATTGGTTTTTTAAATTTGTAATGAAATGTGTTGGCTTTGTTGCATGATGTGTATTTAAGTATAGCTTTATATTGCAAGTGAATCAATCAGTAATTACGTAAAAGAACTGAACATTTAATATTATAATATTTGATTTGTTGGTCTTAAAATAATGTAAAATCAATTTTAATATTTGGTATAAAATTTTATGTGCATATTTTAATGTATATTTTGGAAGGTTTTCATGCATAAATGCATACATATTTAAGGGATTATTAAGGCATAAAAATCCGGTCCCTAATTATGAGTGGCTCCCCTTATGGTAAGAAGGTGTTTATTTTGCAAAAGAGAGTCATTAGAAATATAATAAATGCTAAACCAAGAGATTCATGTAAGGAAATTTTTATGAAATTGGAAATAATGGCGTTATATTCCCAGTATATATGTATATTC